AGTGCAATCGGTGGTATCATTAAGCTACCCAATTTCACAGCTAACGACAAAAAGATCATTCTAATATTGTTTTTTTGGGAAAATATCTCCTTATCCCCTAGTTTTAACTTCCATATCTCGTGAGACCCACGAATTAATTTTTTTTTATTGTAAGCAAAATGTCTCTATCTTTTCTATCATACAACCCCCTGAACCCTTTTGACCATAAATTTTTGACCCAAACAAACACTAAAATGACACCATATTCAAACTCTATCTCTCTCTCTAAGACCCCATCTCTCTCTTCACTTCTCGGTAAGTTTACCAGCTAAGGGGTTTAACTTGAGCTCGAACACGAGCACACCTTCTTATATGTAAGACAAAGATAGAATTTTAGAGTGAGAGATATGGAGTTTTAGAGAGAGAGAGAGAGATAGAGTTTGAGTTTTAAGGAGAGAGATGGAGTTTTGAGAGAGATGATGATGTGTGTGAGAGAGAGAGATCGAGTTTGTATTTTAGAAAGAGAGAGAGAGACGATGATGTGAGAGAGCGATGGAGTTTTAGAAAAATAAAGTCCTTTTACTTACAAGTAATATTTTCAATTATTGAGTCTGATGAGATATAAAAGTTAAAAATACAAGATAATAGGATATTTTCCCCTTTTTTTTTAATACCAAACACAAATGCTTTTTTCTTATGATTGCACTTAGGGGATTACGTAAAATGAGACCATTATTATTTATAGACAAACATCACAAGCACCTCAGGGCATTGGATGTAAAATCTAACAACTAAAACTGTCATTTCCCTGGACGAAGTCAAAGAAAGTTCTTTATGGACTTCGATCACGAACAATGTTACACGTTAATCGCTTGATTTCACTTCTCATGACTAGGGGTGGTCATCATCATCATTGGAACCTTTTCCCACCTATTTGGGGTCGGCTATACGAACTTGGTATGTCATTCTGCTATATCGAGGATCATACCCTTAGTGATGCTATGAGTCGCCATATATTTTCTTACTACTTCCAATTATATCATTTCAGGTTATCCCTTGCTTTTTTTTAGCCTTCCACTTGAGCTAACTTCAATCTTCTAACATGTGTTATACTGGGTTTGTGCTGCATATGTTCAACCCACCTAAGTCTGTTTTCTCTCATTTTTACAACTATTCTCATCCTATGGGCATGTTGTTTATTGATTGCTCAACATTCTGTTCTATAAAGCAAAGCTGGTCTCAAATATATCCTATAAACCTTCCTCTTCAGCTTTATTAGTATGTGGCGATCACATAAAACTCCATTTGCACATCACTACTTCGTCCATCTAACTCTAATTCTATGTGCGACAATTTCCTCAATCTCTCCATTTTTCTAAATTTGACTAGGGGTGGTCAAGAGTTTTATTACATAAACAAATTTTGTTTGTATGATTTATTACTAGCCCTTTTACCAGGAAAAAAAAAAAAACCCTTATCCATCAAGTGGTCCAATTATTCCAATTATTTGGACATTGTCAAGAATGATGAGGTGGCCTTCAATAACCAGGAGTACAGAAGTCCGGACCACCATTGTATGAGTCGGTTTCAAATTCCATCCACATCCATCTGAAGTACAGTTGGATAAATAGCGTGACAACTGAACTGAGTGGATTTTCCTGGAAATTTTCCCATGGGTCTTTGGTACTATGGTAGCATTAGTTTCAAATAATATGTTTGTAGATCCCCAACCTTCCAATGTTCACAATGGACGGATGAGGTTTATCATTCCAAGATCTACAAGCATTCTATTTAAAACTCAAAAGCTATCGTGGTATGTTTTTTCTTAGATAGTTGTCAGCGAGCAGGCAATAATACTACACATTAATTGCACCTTAACAAAAATGATGGTTGTTTTTGATATTGTTGTTTGGTCATTGATAAATCTTCAAACAGAAAAATTTATTATGTGTGCAAGTAAGAACAAAAATTATAATGGGTGAGGTTTATATGAGGTGCCCACCTTATACTATACAAGACAGGCACCCCCATAAATTTTGCTTGAAGATGTAGTTTTGGTATCAGAAAGCGTGTGATGGCGTTAAAATCTATGTTCAGCCCGAGTTATGACATTTAAGATTTAAATAACAATGCAGATCATGCAAATCAAGTAGATCTATGAAAATTTGATCTTGAAAAAAGACGGCCCAGATAATTTGTTACAAGATATACTACTTTTAGGACTTGAAATTTTTTTATTTTCTTTATATCCATACATCTCAAGGTTGATATAAGCAATTGGAAGGTTTTCTAACTTCATAAAACTCTTTTCTAATGGATTTTTTAAGTGTACCTTACTTCTATAGTATAAACTGGTCACCTTATATAAACATTTTCCTTATATATGGGACATATTTTAGGCTCGGTTTTTTGGATAACGTTTCTATAAGGTCTAGACTTTTTGAAAATAAAGTAAAGGCTCACGTCAAATCCTCATTTGGAAAGCACTTTCGGCAACATAAATCTCCATGATTGCTCTTAAATCAATTTTCAACATCGACAATAAATTTTGAAATTCAAAAAATGGTACATATCTTACAAATATGTGAATACTTCTTTTTAGGGTGAAATGGACGATCTAGATAATTTGCTATTTACACTATTTTTAGAGCAAGGGGTAGTCCCAAAAGGATTTGGTTGAAGGTAATCTGAAAAAATTCGAAGACTTATGACTTCACTGAGGGCAGATAAATGGCGGACTAGGATTTATGTAGTTGACCCCAATTAATTGGAAAAATGCTATGATGATGATGACACACTATTTTTAGAGCTTGAAATCCTGAAATTTTTCACAACCATAACCATCAAGCCAAGATGATTGATGTAAAAGTTTTCCAATGCTTGAATTGCAATTTTGTATGCTTTATTTATTTTGATAGGGTTGCAGCCCTATCAAATCATTTTTCATGTTCTAAAACCCCGCTCTGGTACCCTATTAAGTACCAGCCATTTTGAGTCAACCCAGTGGACTAGGCAAATCGGTCTGACTGACTCGGATTAAAAAAATAGAACGATAGATAACATAGAAAATGGCAAAAAAATGCCTAAAAATAAAAATAGTCATTCAAAACTATATTTAATTTATTTGATCTAAAAGTGGTATACAACAATATTGAAATAAAAAATATAGAATAAAAAACAATTTTTGAGTAGAAGGCAAGAAAAAGGAGGGAAAATTTTGAAATTTGGGGAATTTTGTTTTGATTTAGAAAGAGTGTTGGGGCTTTTGTATATCACTACAATGGAAACAATTTAGGATAAATTTGAGCGCATTTGGTTAATAAAATGAGAGAGAAATTAAATATTTCTCATGGTATTTTAAGAACCATATAACATTCGGTATTCATTACAGTATTTAAAAAGTACCGTAATTGTTCTTTACAGTAATACAACTATTGTGAATGTTATTTTGGCCACAGAACGCCCAAAATTGAAAAGCAATAGTATGGACGAGATTTATGAAAGCTAAAAGTTTTTTTTTTTCTAAATAGACGAAAAAAAAATGAGGATTTTGACTTTTGAGAGAGAGAGAAAACATAATTTTTACCATTGGAAAGAACATGCAATATAATGTTTATTAACTAGCAACTTTTTTAATGCCACCATAAATATTACATATTATCATATTTGCCCCTGATTCTCTTCGGCCGAAACATCATTTTTTGGCCGAATCAACCCGAAGCAGGCCGAATCCAGCCGAAGCAGTTGATTTTTTATTTATTTCAATTTGGTTCAAAGTAAAAAATCAAAGGCTTCGGCCTCTTTGGCCGAAGTGAAGCGAATTTAACAACATTGCCCAAACCATCCTACGATTTTCATCTATTCAATTTTGGGATGGGACTTGGTCAGACTAAATCGGTTCTGGGAATGTATGTGTTAATTCACCTAAATCCTATATTTGTTATATTTTTATATTTTTTTAAGTTTGTCTAATCTTTTCTTATGTCCCCTTAAATCATCACCCCATAAAACCTTATTTTATTTTTTTATTTATTTTTAGTATTTTTGAATCTTCTATTCGAACCGATCCAGATTGCCAATCCAACGATTGGTGATATATATGTGATGAACAATTTGCCCACTGATTTGGGTTTTCATAAACATCATCAAAGTTTTTTTTCCAACTAATTGGAGGCGGTTGCACGAATCTTGGTTCGTCATTATGTTCTATTAAGGGTCATATCTTCATTGAGGCCACGGGTCCCCATATATTTTTCTCACTATTTCTAATCACGTCATTTTGAACCTATTATTTAAGCATTTCACTTGAACTAACTTGCACCTCTTGATAAATGTCGTACTGGGTTTGTACTGTACATGACCAATGGACCTAAATCTACTTTTTTTCATTTTATGGCCTATTGATGCCAAGCCTAAATTTTATTGGATATATTCATTTTGAATTTTGTCCCTTCTTGGCTTGCTACTCGTACATCTTAACATCCACATCTCGCCATACTCATTCTATAAGTATGTTATTTTTTGACCGTCCAACATTCCGTCCCATAAAAACAAAGTTGGTCTCACAAATTCTCACATAAAACATTAGCTTACGACGATCCTATAGAACTTGTCCACTAATCTAGATTTGTAAATATTAATCATAAATAAATTAAACGGCTTGGGCTAGTCACAAAGTGCAACGAATTTTTTTTTTAAGATTTTAAGGCAATGACAATTTTACAGACACTCAAAGTAAAATCCAAGGGAGAAGAGTAATTGCGATGTTTTTGTACAAAAAGTAAATTTATATACTTTTCCTTATAGAAATATGAAACAATTGAATGACCGATATTAAGTGAGCGATATTAAGTGCCTTCATGTTCCCGCATGATGAGCTGAAATTGGCGAAACGTTACGAAATCTCGGGTGCCGTGTCCGAAACTATTTATGGTGGCGCCGAAACGTAATTTTGGCGGAAGACGTAATTCCCGGAAATTTAAAACCCATCCTTGGGAAGCAAACAGATGCTGACGTGTCATTGCCTCGCACTTTTGGCTCCGCACCAAAAACCACGCTCTGAAACTTGATCTGTCCTTTCATTTGAACCCCTCACTGTCTCTCTTCTCTCTCTCTCTCTCTTATTCTCTCTTCTCTCTCTCTCCTCTTTCACGTAGGCGTTCTGTTTGCGCTCTGTTATCCCCTCTCTCGCTCTTATCTTTCTCCTGTAATTTGATATCATTATTTCTCTCTCATCATTTCTCTCTCCCTTTTTAGTGTGTTTATCTCCACCTGCTCTCTCTCCTCAATCTAGTTGCTTTTACTCTCTCCTCAATCTTGTTGCTTTTACTCTCTCCTCAATCTTGTTGCTTTTACTCTCTCTCCTCTGTCATTTAATATTATCCATCTCCATTACTTCTCTGTTATCTATACTCTCTCTCTCCTCCATCTTCACTTTACCTAGACGGTCTGTCTCTCTCTCTATCTCTATCCTACCTATTTATCTATACTCTGTTTCCATCTCTCACTCTATCATCTCTTTTCTCTTTCATCCATACTCTCTCACTACCTGTTTCTCTCTTCTCGATATTCATTTTACCTATTACTCTCTCTCCTTTCTCTCTCTTTCTCTTACCTTTTATCTAAGTTCGATCTCTTCACATAAACTGTTTCTCTCTCTAAGCTTTCTCTTCTGTCTGTAGTCGCGACTGAGTATGTATCGATATAACATTTGTCGAAGCTTGAGGAATGTTTCAAGGCAAACAGCTTATTATTCGTTTAATCATGGGAGGTCAGTGTGAAATCCATTCATTTTGTTTATGGATTAATCATTTCCATGTTGTTGCTTTGAATTTATCTTTAGCCTGATGAATTATGAGCTTTATTGCATTTGAACTTTCGAATTTTCCCGATCACGTTTTTTTGTGTGATGATAGTTGTTGATGGTTCAGTTTTAAGGTTAATGGTGTATTACTGGTATGATTCATCTGTTGCAGTGATAGTGTTCATGTCATTTGTCAATTTGTCAAAAAATGAGTGTTTATTTTTATTTTTAACCATTGTTGTGTTCAGTCTGATAATCAAATGCTGATGTGTTTTCATTTTGATGTTTGAATTGAATATGGATAATCCTGGTTTTCGTTACATCTGCACATTATTTGAGTAGTAGTATTCAATGATATCATGATTAATGGAATAAGGGATTGGGCTTTACCTTTTTTTTTTTTTGGGATTATTTGGCATCAAAAGTGTTGTACTCTTGAGAGAGAGAGAGAGAGAGAGAGGGAGGGGGGGGTATATTAGTGTATGGTTTGAAAGAGTACTTGCTTGGTTTGAAAGAGTACTTGCTATTTGAAGCATTAATATGTGAAAATTATTTAGTTAGGCTGATGGATTCCCTTATGAGTTAAAAATACCAACCAAATTGTGGTAAAAACCTGATCTACCTTCTTTTGTGCTGAATTTTCCTTAATCCACCAGAAAATTTCATATAGCCCTTGTCTTTCTTTGTTAGCTTTGTATTTTCCTCAACTCACTCAATTTGTTTTATTTATTTTTGTATGTTGATTTTACGTCAGGGCTTCCCATTCCCTATCTTTTTCTGATATAGCTGTTGAAGAAATTTCAGGCTCCAGACCTGCAGAAGTATACAACTTAGGTAAGGAATTTGATAACTCATGTTTTATGCTTTGTTTGTATTTTGAGTTTCTTATAAGGCTAAGTATTTTAGAAAATTATTCGCTTTTAAATCTTTTTTTTTTCTTTTTCCCACTTCAAGTTCTTTCTTGGCGTAAGAATTAAATTATATTCTTTTGGTAGTTGTATCTTCCTACTTTTAACTCATCCAATCTACAATTGTGAAAACAAGTAGTCAGAGGCTTTCATTCCATCTCTTCTCTTCCCTGTTTTCTTCTAATTCCATTTTAGGTCAGACTACCTTCTCCAATAGTGTGCCCATTTTAAAGTTCAGGATACGAAGCTTAAGTAGTGAGCCATTATACAATATTTGAATTGGCTGTGAAAAAACATGGTCTGTTTGGGTCACCATTGTCCAATTACATTATGGATAGTTATGCAGCAAGAGTGTGACTCATACAAAACGGGAGATTGATCGAGATTGGTCCCATTGTCCTCTGTGCCCCTTGTTTTAATCGGGTAGTGATGATTCCCATGGGCTAAGGTTTCCAAAAGTCCATTAGACTAGACTTCCCCTAAAAGATATGAGATACAGACAATCTGGCTACATAGTGGCCTTATCAAAGCATGATTCTGTAGTTTATTTGAGTTTTATGGTACTCCATAGTTGGGCTGGGCTCATAGTTGTTGGAAGTTGGAGCACCTGCGAGAGCAATTTAGGAATCGGAAGCGAAGAAATCCGAGAGGCTACAAGATTCTTATGGTAGGAAGCATTGTCCGTGTATTTTAAGAATCAAGAACCCAACCCTTTTTTGGATTGAAATCCCAACCTTTTGGGAATTGTGCTTCCAACCATTTGGGACCTCACAATTATCTGGAGTATCCTTAACCATGAATCCCTTCGTATTGGAATTAATGTATTGAGTGCCCTTATTCTGTGTTCCCTAGTATTGGAATCGAGACCTTCTACTACCTTAAACAAGGGTTTACCTGGTACTTGAATCGATGTATTGAGTGCCCTTAATCATGGTTTGGAATCAAGATCCTTGAGTGCCCTTAACCAGGGTTCCTAAATATTAGAATTGAGGGATAACTAGAGTTTCTAGACGTGCCACTTCTTTGTTGATTTAAGTGCAGTTAATTGATTAATCAATAATAAATTTTTTAAAATAAGGCATCTATTTTCGGTTTTCCATGTAGAAGCGGGCTTGCCGCTCGATATTTACCTGCAATAGAGAATAATGTGGTACTTTGTCAATAACTTAATAACCCTAGACTTTTGCATTTGAATCTCAATTTTGTGTTATGGAAACTTTGATCTCATGTTGATCATGGTTCGGTGCAACTATGAACCCTGGGATTTGATGCTGTGGAATCTGGATGCCAAATAACTCACGATCAAGATTCCTAAATGGTGGGGGAACGAGAGTCCTAAATTACAGAAATGAGATTCCATGAAAATTCCTTGTCCGGAGCGATGAAGCGAGATTTTGAAGTGGAATCGCCACCTGGGGTGGAAGATTCCTATAACTATGGTTGGGCTTGAAATAAAGGACTGTCCCATGAAAATCTTCTTAAGGCTTTCATATGGTTATATTTGATATAGATTTCATGGCAAGTTGACAACTTTTTGCATGGTTGTAAATACACCTAATGTAATCTAGAAAAGTTCAAATATGAAGAACTCATGCATTGAGTGATCCTCTAGCATGAACATAAATATCAAGTATAAAAGATATGATCAGTTACATTCAGACTAGTATGGACATAAATTTCTGTGAATTCATAAAACACATTCTGTGCTGATTGAGAATATTGTTTTAAAACAATGCAATATCTAGTATATTGATCCCTGGCTGTGATGAGAAGAAGAACTTGGTGTGAATGTTTAGAAACGCAAAGTTATAAAACTCAGAAATGTAAATTCAATTTTTGAAAGTTCCATTTGTAAAAGTTCCTTTGGGCTTTCTTCTAAAGTCGCCGCATTGTCAAACATGGAACTGTGATGTTGTTTAGTGCAGGGTAGTTGGAAAGGAGTGTCTAATTGGAGCACAATCTTGGATCCCTTGAATGGTGAACCATTCATTAAAGTTGCTAATGTACTTCAGACTGAAATAAATGTGAGTAACTTTATCTACCTTTTTCTGAGACACTAGGCTCAATGTTTTTACTTGTATAGTTTTGGTCGGACTTCAAAGTATGTTTCCTTCCTTTCTTTCTTCTTTGTCACTTTCTTCTACTTCTGGTTGTACCTTATGCATTGAATATTTCCTACATATTGATATGTTTATTTGATGCAGCCCTATGTGGAGAGCTTGTCTAAGTGCCCTAAATATGGTCTTCACAATCCACTTAGATCGCAAGAGAGGTTTTTATGTTTTCTTTCTCTTTTTTTGCTGTTAGCTGTTTATCTATCTATAGTTCTATCTACAAATACATATACTCACACATATACCGATTGGATTATTCAGACCTTTGCTTGATTGGGTATCATTAAAGTGTAATGAGCCTGAAATATTATATGCTGTCGGATGCTGGAATATTTGAAATCATGAAAATGGAAGTGCAATTTAGTGCTTTTTATAATGCAGTCACAATCAAGAAATCTCAGAGAATATTATACAATAGAAGTTTAGAGGAAACTTCTTTGTATTTGTCTGACTTTGGAGCCATCTTCCTCTGCCATGACTTTAGGTTGATCTCTATGCATGCAACAATATCTCAGCAACCCCAGTTTCCCTTTTGCCTATTGTGTCACTCCACTTATTATAATTCAATGTGAAGGGGTTGTCAACTTGTTCCTTGAGTCTGCAGGATAAATTTGAAACGGAAAGATCACCATTTCTGACTTTCTGCTGTTAATAATTGGATATAGAATGTCACTTAGTGATCACCTTTTAATAAGCAGTTTTCAGCACCCAAACGTAGCGGGGAAAAAGAAGTTTTCAGTACCACTTTTTTGACAATTTAAGCATGCAAACTTAAATTATCAAGTGGGAACTTATTAGATGTATTTCTTGTAGATATGTTTTATTTGGGGACATAACTGCGAAGGCTGCATCTTTTCTGGCTCAACCTGAGGTATAACATTTAGATTTATGTTTCATTTTTTGATATTGCTTCTAATATTGATCAGCGAGTCGTTACCTTTAATATTTTAGGTGAATTTATCAAAATACCCATTAAAGTTGAACTATTTAACATTTTACCTATTTGCAACTATTCCAAGATACAATCATGTGTATTTTGATGGGTATTTTGAAAATAAATCAAAAGTCATAGGTAGAATGTTAAGTGGTCCATCTCCAGTAGGTATTTAGATAAATGTTTTTTCAATATTTTATGGACCTCTAATGTGTCTTGCTATTATTAGGTAATATATTTTTTGACAATTTGCTTATGATAAATATGGATTCGTCACTTAGGTTTCACATTTCTTTGCAAGGCTGATACAAAGGGTTTCTCCAAAGAGTTATAAGCAAGCCCTGGCTGAGGTCCAGGTCTCACAGAAATTTTTGGAGAACTTCTCTGGTGACCAGGTACATCACTTACTCTTTTTCAGGTATTGTTAATGGAAACATGTATTTTTGCTTCATTTTGTATTTGTGCTTAATCTTTTTTAATGTAAAAATGCTATTGTTTGCTTCTGTATGTTCTCTTCCTGCATACAGTTCTGAAACCTGATTACTAGGACCTTCAGGTACGAGCATTGATTCTCAGTACTCCCCAAGAAGAGCTGGGATAGGATAGTGCGTTCCTTGATTTTGCAGATCTTGCCGTTTATAGCTATAAGGGAAATTAATGTAAATATACCCTTTTCTTGTGGTATTTAAAAAATATCCCCCATTTTACATATTTTATGCTCATGTCTCCCGCTTTTCTCAAAATGCTTTCGGTTCAGAACTCGAAGTTCCGAACCTGGTGTTTCTTTTTTTATCGAGTATGTTGTGGACCTTCAAGTTCCGAACCAACATTTTCGTAAACAAACCAGTTTGGACCTTCTTATATTTTTGGTCCAGAGTTCAGTTCTGAGCTTTAAGTTCTGAAATGATCTTTTGGTGAAGAGAGAGAGATTTCTTTTTTGGGGGCGGGGGTGGAGTCCTCTCTCATCATTACTAAATATGATAGTTCATTGCTCTGTGAACCATAAGAAATGTTCTTAATTAGTTCTATACCTTAGAATCCTGGGGTTTTCACATGTTACTTGTTCTAGTTTCCAGTCTTATTTTTCGTAAATAAATTACTCAATCTGTCTGTTATAGGTGAGTGTTTGTTGGCGTATTCATCGTTTAGATCTCTTGGTCCTTTATCAACAACATGTTATATTCTATAACTAAAGAGAAACTTATTCTATAACTAAATAGAAACTTTTTGTAACATTCAGTACCTTGCCCCTACCAATCCCTTTCATGTCCTGATAGTCATATTTAGCCTCAAAAGGTAGTTGTTTTAGAATGCATTGTTGCATAGAATTTGCATTGGGTTTTACCTTTACATGGACTCACTTTGTGCTTTTCACCTTAGCGAACCGAGGGACTTATGCTCTTTCACATCAATTCTTTGTCACTTGTTGCTGTGTTTGTTATACAGGTCCGTTTCCTTGGAAGTTCATTTGGAGTGCCAGGGAATCATCTTGGACAACAAAGTCATGGCTTTCGTTGGCCCTATGGTCCTGTAAGTCCCTTATCTGTGCATGGGCCCTGATTGCTCCTTCTTAAAGCTTTGATGCATAATTTATTAAAAAATTGAGTCTTCAAGAGTTGGATTTGCTTTTATTTAGCAAATTCCATATGAAGAGGGTATTTGTTTAGATCCGATCCAAAATTCTGAAGTCATTGCTGTTTCTTTTTTATTTGTGGCATGGAGATGCATAAATTTTGCTGCCAATGCTTACGATGTTGTGGGAATTCATCTTGATAGCTTTCAGAATGACCAAGGGTTGAATCTGGTTGCGGAGAGAGAGGGAATTGGTCAAAGTTTGCTTCTATTTTATGGTTTTTGGCACCATCATTGGGTCATTTTGTCCTGGCATGACTAGGGATGTTTGTCCTCTTGGCAATAAAAATCATGGGTTTGTCTTTTTTTAGTATTTTTTATTTATGATTTTTTCTTATTTTTGATATTTTTTAATGCGTGGGAAATCAAGTGTCCCCATGATGCCTGCATGGATCCTCCTGGCACCTTGGACCCAGAATTCGGCGGGGTCTGTTAGGTGCCTATGAGTCAGCAGCTATTATATTTGATCAATTTAAGCAATTCCGTATCTTTTTAATGTAATTTTGTTTTTCTTTCCATTGTTTACTCTTAGCTAAAATTCCATTTTTTAGAAAAATAAGAAAAGATGACCATCTAATTTGGCCTATTTTTCAATTCGAATTGGATAGGCCAATCTAGGTTCAAGAATATTGCTTTCCGATTCTTTGGTGATGAAGGGAGACTTCCTTAGTGCTATTAATCAATGTTCAAGAAGACTGGAGTTCCTTGAACGGTCATCATTGTAAAGATTTTAGGTTACTAGGGAATGTTGGATGTAGGACATTATATAAAAGATTAGGGAGGCTACACCAAGTTGTTAGTGTCTTGCTATCCTCAGCCTACAATTTTTTTCATTTTCTTTGGACGAATTTGCCAATTTGGAGCCCTAAATGGTGTAAATTGCTTATATTTGTACCTTTGAGGAAAGTAATCCCTAATTGCAAAGAAAGAACATCAATGCCTTTGTTTGTAAGTGGCGTTGAATTTCAGTTTCAATAAAAAGAAAAGAAAAAAAAGTGGCGTTGAACCTCTATTAAATGTTGTGCTTCTTTATTTCAGTTATTTACTGACTGTGTACATCTTGTTATGATATATGCAGTTCTCAATATTTTATTGAATGTAATCTTATTACGATGTCTTATTTTGAATTCTCTTTGTGCTCCATGTTAGTTATGTTAGAGAAACTCCAAGATATTTAATCCTGTATTTCTTACAGGTGGCAATTATCACACCCTTCAATTTCCCACTGGAGATTCCTCTGCTGCAGCTAATGGGTGCACTCTACATGGGGAACAAGCCCATTCTCAAAGTTGACAGCAAGGTTGGCATCGGAGATATAGTTTAACATGTTATTAACTATTGAACTTAGATTTTGGAAGTTAAAACTATCAAATGGTATGTATGTTGATGCTCCAACAATTGCTTGAAAAATAACTTAAGATTTTAATTTCTATAAAATTAATATATTATTTTTTCTTTTTTTTGTGTATTTTATAAATGATTAACTATTACTTCTACAGCATTTTAATATTCTATCTAATGTTTATTTGATTTCCCATGTTTATTTTTATTTCTTATATTCTGAAGTACTTCTAATTTCTTTAGTTTATTAAATTTTTATTTAATTATTAAATTGAGTTTTAATTCTCATCTTCCAAATATTTTTTAGTTTCCTTAGTTAATATTTCATCAATTCTTGAGAAATGAAATAAGGGATTCCTTAGTTAATATTTCATCCTGGGGAATTCTTTAGAAATAAAAAAAAGGGAAATTTATAAAACCCCACCTATAAGATAAAGTATTCAACATTTTACCCCTTTTCCTATATAGCTTCAAAAAGCCCACAAAAAATGTATCATCAATTCCCCAATGTTGTTGGAGGGACACTTACCATTTTTTCTCCATCAAAACCATGCAATGCCCATACCAATCAACCAAAAATTACAGGTTTTGAGACAAGGTGCATACCCTAGTGAGAGAAAGAGCCGAAAAGGCCTCAAGAGCCTGGTGTGATTCCTTGAACTGAGAGCAATAAAGAATCAAACAAAAGGTCAGGAGCTGAAGAACCAGGAAGATGGGCTCAAATAAAGCTCAAAAATTTTATAAATGGGTTTCGGGGCAAGAAATTGAAAACAAAATGAGGAACTTTCCATTGATCAATCAAATTAAAATCATATGAGTTTGTAGCATAAGAGCGAGAAAGTGCGTGAATGAGAGAGAGAATGAGGTGTGAGGATTTGGTGGGCATGTCAAATGAACTTGAGGCGGGGATGGGTTATAGAGTAGTGGATAGATAGAAATTGGTGATGAAGTAATTTTGGGGGGATTGTAGAAATAGGGAGTGGGAATTTGGAAGGGCGATATCGGTTTTTGGAGAGGATTAGACTAAGGAGAGGGAGTGGATCGAGGGGTTCAGAGAGCGAGCAGTTGGGTGAGAGAAGGGGCAGTAAAGAGAGAGCCGTCAAGTGAAAGAAGGGGTAGAGGGAGCAGTTGGGTGAGAGAAGGGGCAATAAAGAGAGAGCCGTCTAGTGAAAGAAGGGGCAGGAGAGAGAGAGAGAGCAAGAGTGAAAAAACGACATTGAGGCACTGCACTTGTGCTGGCTTGGTAGGGATGGAGAGAGCGTCTATATGTGTTTTTATGTGTGTGTCGACATGGTTGTGAGGGTGAAGATCTGCAGGGTAGAGAGAGATCGAGATATGTGAGAATGGTGCAGGTTAGCTAGAGAAAGGGGGAGTGTGTATGTGATTTCATATGTGCATGCAGGTAGGTGTGGTTATGAAGGTGAAGATGTGCTGGGTAGAGCGATTAAATGTCATTTTGTTTGCAGGTGTGGTTGTGAGGGTGAAGATGCGGCTTGCAAGAGAGAGAGAATTGATCTATGAGTGGGAGAGGAGAGATAGGGAGAGCTACACATGGAGAGAAAAATATTGAGAGATGGTTTTTTGGTGTAGAGAGAGATGTAGTGTGTGTATGTTTATGTTTGGTGGTAGGAGAGAAGATGTAGCTCGTAACAAAGAAAATTGATTTACAAGCAACACTTGCATATTATTAAGATATTTTCTTTTGAGAGAAATAAGTTTACAACGAATCAATAGTGAACCAAAGTGACAAACACTCCCACAAAAATATCATGAGTTTTATAATAAACATATTTCTTTTGCTCGCATGTGAAATTTTTTTTAATAGTGTTTTTAAGAAATATGCTTCACTAATCATAATAAGGAGACCATTTACCTCTCATAGAGAAAAGTCATATCGGATTGTTTTGATGAAGGGGCAAAAGTTGAAAGTGCTCCTCCCACAATTATTGGCATGTGATGATGTTTTTTTTAATGGGTTTTTGGAATTATAAACAATTTTGTGGGCTTTTTTGAACTCATCATCATCATCCGAGCCTTATTCCAACTATTTGTGATAGGCTACACGAATCATGTTCTGTCATTCAGCTCTATCAAGGGTCATATCCTCAGTTAGACTATAAGACGTGTTGCTTACAGGGAACGCCCTAGTGTGGGCTTTTTTGAACTATAGAAAGAAATTGGGGGAAATGTTAAATACTTCACCTTTTAGGCGGGTGTGATAAATTTCTTATAAAATAGTTGTAGCTCATGTTATTTTTGAAGTATTTTCTTTGAACAAAAACTTAATATTATTATTTTATTTTATTGAGTTTTGAGGTCCATAGCTTTTCAATTTTGGTCTAATTTTTATTTCATAGTTAAATTTATTCATCGACAATAATTATCTAGAAACATAATATAATAAATCTTTGGCTTTTATTTCTTCTCTCTCGTTATTTTTATTAAACATTAGATTTTGATAACAAACATAAGATCTTCCAAGGGAGGAGATATGAGTCCTTTAGGAACTGTATCTTTAACTTTAGATAACAAATAACGGATTTTGAAGGAATTCGTTTTTAGGAATGAATTCGTTTGTGAATCTTTTGAAAGAGAGATATCTTCGGATTATTAACAAGAGCTTTCAATAACAAATTAGAGATTCTAAGAGAGTGGTTTTAGGAAATATTGATTGGCGGAGTTTTTGGAGGGAAAAGGAGAGGGAGTGAACAATTTGAAAGTCATATCCTTACTTTTCTTTCCTAATGTATATATTCCCACCGTTAAGGGGTGGACATGTGGCATTCAACTAGAATAGAACCCTACGGAGACAAAGACTTTAGGTTAGGGTACTTGTTGTGGAGACCTTACATATAGAGGGTTTAGGGTGGTGTTAGATCTTAGTCTAATTCAATATCTATCAATTCCTATAGTCTCTCTGTTCGTTATCATCATCATCATCATCATCATTCGAGGCTTATCCCAACTATTTGGGGTCAGCTACAAGAATCCTGTTATGGGATTTCGCTCTATCAAGGGTTATACTCTAAGTCATATTATAAGTCATGTCTCTTCTCGCTACTTCCAGCCATATCTTTTGGGCCTTTCCCTTGTCCTTTTAGTGCTTTTCTCTTGAACCAAAGCACTCCTACTAACCGGTGTTGTTCTAGGTCGACTCTACACATGGCCAAGCCAGACCACCCAAGTCTAGTTTCCTCAGCTTATTGCATGTTGGAGCTACCCCTAATTTCCTTCGGATGCATTCATTCCAAAGTCTACTCTCTCTAATGTCTCATCTAAATTCAATTTGATACAGAGACTCCCCATTTCAGAATATCTTATGTTTCTCCCTTCTTATCCATCAATGCGTATCTTTTTTGACAAAAAGGAACTCTCCCTATCAGAAAAACTTATCTTTCATTTGCTCAAAAAAAAGAAAAAACGCAACATACTTTATCCAAACCCTTTCACCTGTGACCCTTTTTTTTTTTTTAATCATATTTAGTGGTAATAATATTACTAGTAGAGATAAAGCAATTCATGGATGATGGATCATTTGTCATATAGAAATCTGTTTTTTCTGGTGGAACTATCTTTCATATCCTAATAGACTCTTGTCAAACTCTCCCTAAGACAAACTGGTCCCTCCCGTTCACCTCCCTTCATGCCTGGAGGAAACTTTGGGAGGTGCATGAATTAAAATCAGTTATCATGGAAGTCAGCTCAAAGTTAAACGAATAGGCTCAAGAATTCTTGGGCTAAGCCAGCAATCTGTCCTCATGAGAATTTTCCTCCAAAATGTAATATTACTGACTTACCGTGCGTAGGTTATCATTCCAACAACTGGTGGCAACTTTTTTAATATTGGACTGTGAGATCCATGTATGTTGCCACCCAGTTCAGAAATCTATCCTTTTAGTTCCTGTAACGGAGCATCTACTTCTGCATTGCTTCCTTAAAAAACATTTGACTTGTCTAATTTAACATTTGTTAGTAGTCACTAATATTTTTTGGTTTTTCAATACTTATTTGGCTCAAGTGTACTTATTGTAGGTAAGCATTGTGATGGAGCAAATGCTTCGCCTCCTTCACCAATGTGGTTTGAATATGGAGGATGTGGACTTCATCAACTCTGATGGGAATACCATGAACAGAATCTTATTGGAGGTTGGATGCCCTTTAGAATGTCTTTGTAGACACTCTTCACATTTAAGTCCTGTGGTGGATTATAAAAAAAAATAGACTAGTATCATACAAGTTTGATATTTGTACTTGTAGAGTAATATCCTTTTTGTGTTTTTTCCCCAACTAAAAAGATTGTGATTTTGCATGTACGTTGTGCTCTACTTGTTTTATTTTATTTTATTTTCCCCTTAAACCTTGCCCCGATAAGCTTGGATATTTTCCCAAGTTTCCCTGCTGTCCACTCCATTGCTGCTAACAGCACAACTTCTAAGAAGTTTAAAACTTCAAATTCTTTCATTTTAAAGATGGATCTGTGACCCACAGAGTCTGCTAATAACCTTCTTGCCCTTACTCCCATTCACATCCCATCATCCCACACTATTCCCATTTACACCCATTCCTCCATCCTTATCTAAGCAAATTATGGAATTTATGTTGCCACCAGACCATCACTATAACCTGTATTTTGGGATGCGTCACTCATTCTGTGATTGTTTCCTCTAAATGCTGTAAACTGCACTAAAAAATACAGCATTCCATCACATCTTGATGCCGTAGCACTCCCTGTATGCATTCTGAGAATTTGAACTCTTAAATTCTTTAACTTATTTTGGCAAATGTTTACATGTTAGAGAAATAGGTTGGCTTTCTAGACATCATTGACCACCCACTTGGATACATTCTACGGCCACCGGGACTGGGCTATGTGCACTTTTCATTTAAGGGGAATTATAATGTTGATTCTCATCTGCTCCTAGAGATCTCTGGCACAGGTCAAAAGAAGCCTTCATTTCTGTTGAAAAATATTATTGTACTGTCTGGACAGAATCCTATGAGTGGATTTAAGTGATAATATATTCTTCAGAATGCAAGTTTGTTATGCCAAATTGCCTCACAAATATGGTCTTTGATCTGCATTGTTCTTTTGCAGATATTTGGCCCAAGCTGATTGATGCCTTCTTTTTTGGCTGAAATTTATTTTGGCTATTGCTATTTATGCTTGCTTTTTGCCATCTACACCTATTGACATGAGTGGAAATTCTATCCAACCTGTGTTCTGATATTCCCACTCCCACCTATGTTTTATTTTGGGTGGAATAGCAAAAACATGGGTGCAGATACAAAAAATGTTGTTGCAAATAGCTGTTCTCTTTATTATTCGTAGTCTTGTATTTCATCATAAAGTAATACTAATTGAGTTGTTTTACCATTGTATAGTCCTAATTAAGAAGATTTTGGTCGAGAAATGTTAAAATTTTTATTGCCTACTTAGTGTTTTGTCTGTTCTGCCATTTGCTCAGGCAAAACCACGAATGACACTATTTACTGGAAGCTCTCGTGTTGCAGAAAAGTTGGCTGGTGACCTAAAAGGACGCATCAAACTGGAAGATGCAGGTTTTGATTGGAAAATCCTTGGTCCTGACGTTCAAGAGGTTTTTGTCATAGCATTTTTTTTCTCATACTACTTTCTTGATCTTTTTTGGACAGATAACAATGCAATTGATCTTTATAGATGTTGGTTTTTTCCTATTTAGTTTTTTATCATTTCTTAGGTGTGTGTATACTTGTTTACTGGTCATCATCATCATCATCATCATCCAATTCTTATCAAAATTATTTGGAGTCGGCTACATGAATTCTATTTTGCCATTCCGCTCTATCACGGGCCATACCCTTAGTTATACTGTACGATATCATATTTCTTCTCACTACTTCCTTCTTCTCGCTCTACCTTCCTCTTGTTCTTTTAGGGCCTTCCACTTGAAGTAAATCACGCCTCCTAATTGGTGTTGTTCTAGGTTGCGATGCACATGACTAGCCCACTTAAGTATACTTTCCTTCATGTTGTTGCCTATTGGAGCCAACCCTAAGTTCTCTCGGATGTATTCATTCCGAATTCTATCTTTTCTTTTCTTGCCAGTTGCCACTCATCCTTCTCAACTATAGTTATTGTATGTATACTTGTTTACTAGTAAATATCAAAATTTCCAATGCTTACTTTCTTGTTTTTGAAATGTCAATTATAGGTTGATTATGTTGCTTGGGTTTGTGATCAAGATGCATATGCATGCAGTGGCCAGAAGTGCTCTGCACAATCTATTCTTTTTATGCATGAGGTGAGCCACTTCATTTGATTTCATATTTTTATTGCTATTAGTTATATATAAAGCTATGCACAGGAAATGTCACGTACAAAGAGACATCATCCATGAAATATGTTAGGTATTGATTTACACCTGGCCCATTTTCCTGTCAAATGATTATCATGTGGTATATGTTGCATAGTCTTGTAGTTATGGATGTCTGCATAAAGACATAGAAGAGAAGGGGTGTAATTAATAGGTGTCCAAGAATTAGGTGGCGGAATTTTAAAAATGAGAAGATAGACTTACTTAGGGATAAATTAGTTAAAGAAAGAAAATGAAACTCTGAACATGAGGTCAAAGTTATGTGGGAGATAGTTGTCTGTATTAAGAAAGTGGCAAAAGAAAAAGATCATGTTATAAAATTTGGCAAGGTATTAGGATCAAAACTTAGAAGAATATAAAACTGCTAAGAAAAACGCTAAACAAATAGTAAGACCTAACTTAAGGCATATGATAATTTATGCAGTAATCTGGGAACAAGAAAAGGTGAAAAAGACGTCTTCAAATTGGCAAAAATGATGGAGAAAAAATGTAGGGAACCGAGCTATATTCAATGCATTAAGGGTGAGGATCAAAGGGTCTAGTTGAAGGATGAAAAGGTTAGCGAAAGTTGGAGAGTTTATTTTAAAAAATTATTAAATGACGAACACAATGGGAACATAGCAAGAGAAGGAACCGTTGACATAAATGAACCGTTGACCAGATGATATCTAAATAGAGGTTTGGAAGTGCATGGGGAGATTGACATTGACTGGTTGACCAAGTTGTTCAACAAGGTGTTGAGCAAAAAGAAAATAGCAAATGAATGGAGGTAAAGTACTGTGGTACCTAATTACAAGAACAAAGGAGACATAGAATGTGTGAACTATTGAGGGTTTAAACTTATGAGCCACACTATGAAGCTGTGGGAGGGGGTGATTGAGCAATGACTAAGGCATGAAATGAGTGAATCAGAAAACCAATTTGTTTTTATGCCAAGGAAGTTAACAATTGAGGTTATTTTCCTAATTAGCCAACTGATTGAGAAGTTTAGGGTTAAGGGGAAAAAACTCCACATTGTTTTTATTGATCTAAAAAATGCTTATGATAGAGTACCTAGAGATTTGATTTGGTGGGTGTTGGAAAAGAAATGAGTCTCCAGACAATACATCGACTTGCTGAGGGATATGTACAAGGGAGCGCAAACTAGTGTACAAACAACTAGTGGAGAGACGAGTGAGTTTTAATGACAATTGGTCTACATCAAGGGTCAGCATTGTGCCCATACCTCTTTGTCTAGGTTATGGACTTAACTAGGCACTTGCAAGATGAGGTACCATGATTATGTTATTCGCAGGCGAATAGTTTTGATCGATGAGACTCGAAATGGCATCAACACAAAGTTAGAATTTTGGAGGGATGCTCTAGAATCTAAAGGTTTTTAAAATTAGTCGAACTAAGATCGAGTATATGGAATGCAAGTTTAGTAATAATAGGAGTAGAGGCGAGGAAGCGCTTAACTTGACGGCCAAGAAATACCAAAAAGAGCGTGCTTTCAATATATTGGGTCGATAATCCAAGAAAATGGAGAGATTGAGGAAGATGTCGCACATAGAATTAGAGTTGGGTGGGCATAGTGGAGATATGCAACTGGAGTTTTATGTGATCGCCACATATCAGTGAAGCTGAAGGGCAAGTTCTATAGGACAACTGGGAGACCATCTTTGCTTTACAGGGCGGAATGTTCGGCAGTCAAGAAACAACATACTCATAGAATGAATGTAGCTGAGATGAAGATGTTGAGATGGATGAGTGGCAAGACAAGAAGGGATAGAATTCGAAATGAATACATTCGAGAAAATTTAGATTTGGCACCAATTGGAGATACGATGAGAAAAAGTAGACTTAAGTGGGTTGGCCATGTGCAGCGGAGACCCAATATAGCTGTTGTTAGAAGGTACGAGCTAGGTCAAGTGGAAGGCTAAAAAAGGGTAAGGGGTAGGCCGAAAAGGATATGGTTGGAAGTAGTGAAAAAATATATGGGGACTTATGACCTCACTAAGTGCATGGCCCTTGATAGAGCAGAATGTGTGCGTAGCCAACCCCAATTAGTTGGAAAAAGGCTCAGACGATGATGATGACATGGCTTGATGACCATTGTTAAAATTTGCGTGTGGAATGATAAGATGTTGTCCTAAAATGAAATAAGGGCCTGGTTTCTGAACACCCACCACCTTGCAAACTTAATCTTGTCTAATTTCACCCCCAACTGGAGAATAATTGACATTCATACTTCAGACAATTATATATATGTTCAAAAGGAAGAAAATCTTGTTGGAAGTCCATGTACATCACTCTTTATTTTGTTGTTCTTTATTTTTTCTTCCATTATGTGTTCATAGGGTGTGCATTTCATGTTATTATCAACAATGCCGTTAATATGATAGCCTCAAGTCTTAATGCAGAACTGGATTTCAAGTGGGCTTGTTTCTAATTTGACACTCCTTGCTGAGAGAAGGAAACTAGAAGACTTAACCATTGGCCCTGTTCTAACTGTAAGTTTGCTTTTATTCGTTTTCTTGATCATTGTCTAGCATAATATTTTTCCTTAAAAGTTTACTATGGTTGAGATGATATTGTGCCATTTAATGCAATTTACTTGCCATTTTTGTACTCAGTTGTGAGTCAAGTCAGCCAACCTAATCCAATGTTTCAGAACTTGTTTTTGGGCCCTTGTAGAGAAAAACTTGGGGCAAGTCCAACACCATTTTTCTTCCTTTTTTTTTTTCCCTGTCTAGAGAGGTTCATAAACTTCATATGATGTATCCCAGCCTGTGAAAGAACAATGCATAATGGATTTTTGAGACATGTCCGAAGTTTGAATTGTACACACTTGAATATTAACATTGCTTGATCTAAGGATATAAGTTTCCCATTGTATACATGTTTGCACATATGCCCCCCCCCCCCCCCCCCCCCACCCACCAGCTCCCCACCTCCCTTCATCCTTCCGTTACATTTCTAATGGTGGCATCTTGGATGCATTAATCATTTAGATGTATGTACCATGAAGTACATATGTGTATTTACGAGAGTTAGTTGGGATCTATGTTAAAAAAATTGATGTGTGTTGGTGTCTAGCATGGATAAGTATGTCAGAAATGCCAACTTCAAAGCCTTTTAGGCATGAGACCGCCATACATCATTTAGAGAAGGGGAAAAATAGGTTTTCATGTGACATAAAATACTTTCACATTGACATTTCAACAAGAGAGGTTAAAAAAAAGTGAATCCATTGTTTGAAAAAAGGGCCGGCCTAGGCCTAGGCACCCAAGAGGCCAAAGACCACATTGCCTAGGCCTGGGCGGGCCTTCCTGGTCGAAAGTTCCTAGGTGGGTGCCCAGAAACCTACGTAAAAATGGCATTTTTTTGGGGGTCCATTTTGGGTCATTTTGACTTATGAAAGGGGATATTCTAAACCCTCAAAGTAAAAAAAATAAAAATAAAAAGTCTTCCTATGCCTTAGAAACACCCAAAACTGATGGATTTTACAAGTGTTTGAAAACGAGAAAATTTGAAGTTCATAGAATCCATCCAAAACCATACCATATCTTATTGCATTCAATTTTAAGGTTCAAATGCGGTTCTTAGAAAATAGAAGACTTTTGGGGTGATTTTGAGCCTGTTAGACAACTGAAAAATTGAGGATAGAACATCCAAAATATTGAATAATTAAAGATCTTCTCTTTCTTTTCATTTGTATGGCATCTTCTGTACAACATCATTTTGTGTTGGTCATTTTGGAGTCTATGAGTATGACTATGAAGTATGGACTACGAAGTATGGTGCATGGACACTAAATCACTGATACACTATTTACTGTTTTGTTTTTCAGTGTTTTAGTTATTTAAAGCAGCAAATTTTTCAGTAATATGAATGTGTCAACATTCATGCACATATACTTGTATAAAAAAGTTAGTTGGTTGGAATACATATTAATGTATAAGCATATACATATAGAGGCATATAAAAATGTTAACAGTTTCAAAAAAAAAAAACACATATAGAGGCATATACTTGTGTTTGGATCGGACATATATGCATGTATGTGTATATTTCAAACCTCTGGGTACTTGACGTTCTGGGCGGTCGCCTAGGCGCTGGTCAGCCGAGAACCCCCCAGGGTGCCTAGGGACTGCCCAGCATTTTTTAAACTTTGTCTAAATTTTTAAAATGATAGACATGGATGTCATGACCTTGGTGTGTTGGCACGTGCCAAAAATGTTGGAGGCATGTGTCTCTGTTGCATAGATTTGGGTGAGGTGAATAAGTTGCCTATCAACCCTATCCAAGCCCCCTGATTGGCTCTGAAGGCAAAATGAGTTCTTGAAGTTTCACAAACATTGCCTATACGCACTTGGGGCCAATTCTCTGTAGCTATCGACCAGCACCAAACACCAAATAGAAGGAGCTGCACGTATGACGTTGCGCTTATTTGCTACCTCTACGTCATCCAAAGAGGCCCTATATTTCTAAGATTGATGTGATGCATACATTGTTTTAAAATGCGGCCGCATCGCTGCATATGCGGCCGCATCATGCGGGATGCGCTCGCATCCGCATCGCGAACTGGCGCATATTCGCTTTTGACAGATGCGGCCGCATATGCGCTGCATCATGGCCGCATCCTGCATCGCACCGCATCAGACCGCATCACGCCGCATCTGTTACCACAGAATTTTTTTTCAATTTTGCACCTCGGGGAGGGGCAAAATGGTCTTTTTGTAGTTCCAAAGTTTAGGGAAACTGTTTGGGGGGTTATTATACCCCCTAAACGAAGATTTCCAGAGACTTTTGTGGCTTTTTTTGCATCAAATCGAAGGAAAAAAATAGTTTTGACGAAAAGTTTTTTTTCATCAAAATCTTAGATTTGGCGGTTGTTTGATACTTGGATGTTCATTTGATGCATTTGATTGTTGATTTGGGGTTGTTAAGGTGAATTTGTGATAAGAAATTGGGGATTTCAGAGGCCGTGAAGAAATCGAGCACTACTTCATAGAGTCGGTGACTTTTTATTCCTTCTTGTACAATAATATTGTTATACTTATTTTTGGGGCAATGTCTTCTTCCTAATCTTCTAGTAACAAGGATTCGGCTTAGAAATATGCTAAACTAAAAAATCCGAAAGATAGAAATTGTGTGATATGCTTGCTCTGTGGAAATACTTATATGGGTGGTATTTTTTGACAAAAAGAGTATTTAGCCGGAATTTCTGGGAATGTAAGAGCATGCCCACAAGCTACAA